TTGGAGAGCACCTCCCAGGCCCTTGGGAAAAAGCTTGGCTGGTCAGAAGTAGTTCATACTTTCTTCCTCTCTACTTCTGCCTTTTTTATTTTAAACACTTTCAAAATGCAATCTCCTAATTGCATGCTATACAAGGAAAACTTAGTGGAAAATACTAGGGTCTAAAATTTCTCACATAAGCAAATTCTTTAGATGATGGAAGCTAATCATAAGCAGAAGCCGAGAAAATAATTTGCAGAATTCCAATTCATTGAAGGCCAGTTTTCCAAAAGCTAATTTATAGGATAATCTGATATATCAAATTTATATGAATTTATAAATTCATATATTCACTGTTTGTTTTCAATTTCTCAAAATTTTAGTATTTCATATGGGAATCTTTCATTTCCTATTTTTCCTTAATATACAGATTGTTTTAGTTAAATTCTAATTTATTTTAGATGGTTTTAAACTGAAAATAAAAGTTAAAGCTGATAGAGATGTGAAAATATGCCTGTTAAAGCTACTAAATATGTTAGTAAAATTGATAAATCTGCTAAGTTGGTCATTTGGCAGACTTGACATATGGTGACTAGATTAGGACATGGCCACTCGCCATAGTGCAGTGTGTGCCCTGCATAAATCCAGGGCACCGTTCACATAGACTATGATATGGGTGGGGCCACTTGGAGTTGTGCAGCCAGAGAGACCCTAGACTTGACCTAGATTATAACAAGTCTGTCCCCAGCTTAATAGCATGTTGGGAGGTCTATTAACCAGACCACTAATTCCAGTCTAATTTGGAGGGACACACATATCCTAGCAGTTCTAACTGAGGAGATAAAGCTCGGCCAGCAGCACAGCTTGTAGGGTATGTTAGAACCATCTGGAGGATCCTTATATCCAAGTTGCACCCCAGACCAATGAAATGAGAGTTTCTTGGTGAGATCCAGGCATGGACCTTTTTTAAAGCTTCCTAGGTAATTGCAATATGCAACTGTTGTGTAATAAAGAATTCGGCATTTGTCCCTGGTTCCTCAGAGGAGACTCTAGATTCCTGGAATTCCCCCAGTGATAGGAGTGTCTTTGTTATTCGCGGTGGGTCCTTGGGCCACACCTGAGTTTATGCTAAGGAGATGACTCAAAATGGGAGCCGGTCATGACCAAAAGACCAACCACGTGATCAAAGTTGTGTCTTTGAACCACAGCCACGTTAGCCAACCTGTCAACCTCCAGGGAGAGGAGGAGCGCTGGGAGATTGAGTCCAGTCATGTGACCAATGATTCAATCAATCATGCCTGCCTAATGAAAGCCCAATGAAAACTCTGGACTTGAGGCTTGGAGCTTCCTGGTTAGGGAACACATGGATGTGTTGGGAGTGGATTGTATCCTGATTCCACCGGGAGTGGGTGTGGAAGCTCTGCATTTGGGACCCTCCCACACCTCACCCTACATGTCTCTTCATTTGGCTCATCCTGAGTTGTATCCTTGACAACAAAATTGTAATCATAAGTATGTGCTTTCCTGAGTTCTATAAGTCATTCCAGAAAATTACCAAACCTGAAGGGGTAGTAGGAACTTCTGAATTTGTAGCCAGTTTATCAGAAGTGCAGGTGGCCTAGGGACCTCCACACTTGCAGCTGGTACCTGAAATGAGGAAGGTTTAAGGGGACTTCCCTTCAACCGGTGGAGTCTGAAGCTGACTCTGGGTGGTTAACATCAAACTGTAGTATTGCAGGAACCAAGGTGAGAACCACTATTCTAGGAAAAGGTGGTTCAAAGCAGGAAGTGAGTGCCAGAGCAAATTGTCCATCTAGGTCAGGGCAGGGGTAATATCAGGGTCCAACTAGAATGAGGGGGTACGGAAGGAAGTAGACGGCAGACAGGAATGAGGCACGGGGCTTGGCCTCAAAGTCCTGTATGGGAAGGAGAGTAGAAATTATGAACCAGGACAAAAGATCAGTCAGGCAAAGTGCCTATATATTGTAGGACACTATAGCTCAGTGCTCCAGCAAATACGCTCCATTGTCCCCAGAAGCAGAGGACTCTGGTACAGAGCCACAGACTCTTTCCAGCATCACCACCACCCAAAGTCACTGGAAGGGAGCTTCCTATTTACCCAGGACTGGTTTTATGACTAGGGTGGAACTGAACCAACTGGTGCCAGAATTATTGCTGTGAATGAACGGATCTGGCGTCACTAAGTACAAGATTTAAATAATTTAAATTCCTGCCATAAGTGGCTTCTTAAAAGAAATATGCTGAATATACAATAATTTCAATATGTCTTGGCGTCTTGGATTCCTTGATATTGAAGTCTGAATGAGAAGTTCCTGTCAAGGTTGGGTCGTCATTGAGAAAGGTGAGCTGACTGGCTGGCTGCTGGGTCTCACAAGGTTGCGTTTATCCTGGTGAATCCGCCACAGTCTGCAGTCCCTCTCGGCTTTCTAGGTACACAATTTCATCTGCCACCTCTCTAGATTGGACAAGCTGACTCACACGGTATAAACCTCAGGAGTCTGAAGTATATAAACCAGAATATATGTTAATTCATAATATATTGATATGACTGGACTTGATGCACAAAACTACTTGGGAAAAAATTTTATAAAACTGTTACTTGGTGAGTGTGCAGTGAAAGCAAGTTAAATCTGTTCTACCACACTTAGGATGCCCGATGGTGAGGGGTTCTGAGATGTGTGGTGACCGCCTCCACCTTCGGGCTGTGCGTACCCATGGTGACCAGCCTTCAGCCTCACTGCACGGCCTTGGGTAGGCCCTGCAATGCTTGCCTCTGCACTTATCCCTTTTCTTTGCTTTCTTTATTGATCGATGTTCTCTGCTGATTGATTCTTCTTTCTTTGGATGTGTTATTAACTTTAATCAGGTTACTGCCAACTCTTGCAGGCCTGAGAGCCATTCTGTCTCTTTATCAAGGTGACTTTACATAGCTCTCCTCTGATCTGTCATGTAGTAATTTTATGTTTGACTCCCAGAGGGTAATTTTAAAAAGTATTGTTTTCTTCTGATTTAAAAATACGTCTTTAATTGGAAAATATAAAAACTCATTCATAATTCTACCACCTCATTGAAACATAATTATATCTTCTTTACAAAGTTTGTTTCTAGGTTGCTGTGAGTATTCTGTTTTGTTTTTTAAAAAAAAACAGCTCTAGTGAGATAAAATTTACAGATAAAATTCACCTATTTTAAGTATACAATTTAATGATTGTTAGTAAATGTATGGAGTTTTGCAACCATCATCACAATTCAATTTTAGAACATTTCCATCAGTTCAAACCAATCCCTCATGACCATTTGCAGGCCATCCCTATTCCTACCTCCAGCTCCAGCAACCATTAATCTACTTTCTGTCACCATAGATTTGCCTATCTAGACATTTCATAGGAATAGAATCATAAAATATTTCATCTTCTGTTACTGGCTTCTTTCACTTTGCATAATGTTTTCAAAGCTCATTCATGTTGGAGCATGCATTAGTAATTTGTTCCTGTTGATTGCGGAATGGTCTTCCATTGTATGGATAGACCACATTTTATTTATCCACTCACTGCTTGATGGAAGTTTGAATGCTTGCTACTTTTTGGCTGTTATGAATAATGGTGCTGTGAACATTTATGTGTAAGTGTTTGTGTGGACATATATTTTCATTTCCCTTAGGTAGATACCTAGAAGTGAAATTGATGCACTATATGGTAAATTTGTGTTTAACGTTTTAAGAAACTGTCAAACTTTTTCTAAAGTGGCTGCAACCCTTTTAAGTTCCCACCAGCAGGGCCAACCCTGTAGCTGAGTGGTTAAGTTCACGCACTCCACTTCAGTGGCCTGGGGTTTCACCGTTCCAATCCTGGGTGTGGACGTGGCACTGCTCATCAAGCTATGCTGAGGCAGCATCCCACATAGCACAACTGAAAGGACCCACAACTGAAAAAAAAAACCACACAACTCTGTAGCAGGGGGCTTTGGGGAGAAAAAGGAAAAAAATAAAATCTTAAAAAAAAAAATTCCCACCAGCAACGTATGAGGTTTCGAGTTTATTCACATTGCCAAGACTTAGTATTGTCTAACTTTTTGATTATAGTCATTCTAGTGGGTGTGAAGCCATATCTCACTATGGTTTTAATTTGCATTTTCCTATAACTAATGATGTTGGCTATCGTTTCATGTGCTTATTAACCACTTGTATATCTTCTTTGGTGAAATGTTCATCAAGATTTTTGTCCATTTTTTAAATCCAGTTGTTTTTCTTCCTATTATTGATTCGAAAGAGTTCTTTACATATTCTAGATATCAGTCGTTTATTAGATATTTGATTTGCAAATATATTTTCCCTTTCTGCAAATTACTTTTCGTTTTCTAAATGGTGTCTTTTGAAGCACAAAAGGATTTAATTTTGATGAAGTTTAATTTAGCATGTTTTTGCGTCTTGTTCTATGATCTATTTTATTTTTTGTGTATGATGTGAAGTGAGGATTTAAATTCATCTTTTCGCATGTGGATATCTAATTATTCCAGCACCATTTGTTGAAAAGACAATTCACATTGAATTGCCTTGGTCCCTTTTTCAAAAATCAATTGACCATAAATGTTCCTGGGCTCTAAATTCTGTTGCATTGATATACGTCTTTTTATATCAATATTACACTGTCTTGATTACTGTTGTTCTATACTGAGTTTTGAAATTGGGGACTTTGTTCTTCTTTTTGGCAATTCTACTCTGTTTTTTGCCAATTCCACTCAGCTTTTTGAGTTATAGTCACCATTGGTATGTTTTTTCTATCTCCTCTCTTGCTGTCAGTTCCCACCGCTGGTTGCTATCAGAGTATACAATGCTAGAGCCCTCTCCCCCTCCCCCTCCTCCCCTCCTCCTCCTCCCCTCCTCCTCCTCCCCTCCTCCTCCTCCTCCTTTTCACCAGGTTGTCTTAATTATATCCTTTCATCTGGAAACCAAAGAATACTGTCTTATGTTGATGTAATGTTTTCTATTTCTCCCAACACAGAGAGAAGACTGGGAAATAACAGCCCCTAGTAGTTTCACAGTGGAGAACACTCTTTCCCTCACTCCTATGTTGACATATAAAGTTCATAATGATGGAGGTGATTGCCTGCTGTGTTTCCTGGTCCTACCTCACCCAGGGTACTGAGTTCATCTGGACGTCACAGTATGAGTCTTTCTAGAAGACACAACTTGCTTTCCCTTTGGGACACCAACTCTTTTCCCACCTAAGGCCTTGTGCTTGCAGTGAAATTGTCTTTATTCTTTACTCCTGACCAGACAGCACGTTGCACTCCTTTGGTGACAGTGCTTGGCTCAGGGGAAAGCGTGTGACACCTTCAGAGCTGTTAACGTGCGATGAGACTTTTTCTGAGATTTCTGAAACATTGCCACTCTTCTCTACTAGACTGGAGATTGTTAGAAGGGAAGGCTGGATTCCTCAACCATCTTGCTATCCTGAGGAAAAAGCCTGCCTGAGTTTCTTTCTTAAAGAAATGGAGCTGGGAGATGAGAGGCAGTGAATTCAGATTCTGGGAATCTTCCGGGAGCTCCTATTTCAAACCACGCCCTTAATGAAACTTACTCTGGAGGTTTAATTATGTGAGCCAAAAAAAAATCTCCTTTTTGCTCAAGCTAACTTAAACTGGGTTTTCTGTCACATGTAACCACAATTGTTTTTACTGATTCAATTTAAGAGAGACATTGGTAAATTAAATAAGCCCAGAGAAGAATTGCCACAGGGGTGAATGTGACCGGAACTGTGTCAAAGGGGTAGAAACTGGAGAAAGTATGGCTTGAAGAAAGAAGAGCTGGTGTGTATGTGTTCCAGGAGAAGAAGAATGTTAAAGGTATGGAAGAGGATACCAAAGAAAGAGAAATACTTCAAATATTTCATTAGAATTCATGATAGGAAGCTCCTGGGAAACAAATTTCAATTTTAAAACTGTAACAATTTAAGGTGTCTGAAAATGGGCTGAATTGGCCTGTAATGTTTGCTGTGTCTAGAAGGGTTTTTAATAACTGATCGGAGATATTGTAGAGCGAATTCAAGCTGCCCAGTGGATGGTGTCTTCTGGACTTCACTCATTGAACGTCATCTTCACAATTTTTGCCATGCGGGAAAGGGGAAACTTGTACCATCTTTTGCTCAATATTTTCTTTGCATCAATTTCCTTTTTTGTCCAAATAAGTTTATTTTTAAATGAAACTAAATCGCTACTATAAATGGGAAATAAGAATCAGTGGCCAAAAATAAATATAATAAAACAAAACAATGTTATTAAATTCTAACTAGACTTTGCCTGGCAAAAGCTCTGTGCCTGTGATCTGCCTTCATTTTGTTAAAAGGAAAATTAATAGTTGAATATATGATAACACCAAACTGATCATTTCTCTTTCTCTAGTCAGAAGGATTAAAAGAGAATTGAATGGGAAATTATTTTCTCACTAAGCAATTCAGTGTTTTTAATGTCATGCCTATGTGCCACCTAAAGTCATCAATCTATTTACACATTTGGAAAGCCTAAAGTATGGGTGTAATTCACACCAGTGCTTCCCAATCTTTTCACAACTTGTCACACACAGACAACAATATTGTGTGGCACACTGGGGTAGATTAAGGCGGCTGCTCACGACCTCAGGCAACTGGCCCAGGGGAGCTGTCTCCAGCCCAGGCAGCACCCCACCCTCACCCGTACCTGGGGCAGAGGAGATGGATATATGGACACACAAGTGACTATTCTGGTTAGCGTTTTATTAAGAGTTCTTTCTAGGAGTCTATAATTCTAGACTATTTACTCCTTAAGTTTCTGGAATCCAAAAGCTCAGTCTGAAGTAGTTACTTTTCGTATGTGTGTCTGAGAACCCATAGGCTGGCTAAGGACCATCTCTGCACCTTCTGGAGAATTCTCTTCTGAGATATTTGGCATCTCCCTTCTTGCATGTGACAGAAGGGCAACTGTGAAATCAAGTTGCTATGTTACAGTGGGAAAACAAACCCCATTGCTCCCCGACCACCAAATGAAACCACAGACAACTTCTCTTCTTGGCTATGCTACCCTTTTCTCCCACCGATACACTGGAAAGTCTGACTCAGTAGAAAAGTCGTGTGTGTGTGTTTAAAGAAAACTTCTTCATAATCCTTCTAATCTTACATGCATAAATGCACTTTAGTTCTGAAAACATTGTTTCATTCTAAACCAAATAGACAATCAGGTAAGAAGAAATTGTTGGCTTTAAAAAGCAGTCACTTTTGTCTGGGGCTACCATATTTGGAAGAATTTGAAATGTTGTTGGGGCTGTCCATGGCTCTGTTGCTGGAGAACATCAGATACCAGTTTACAGATTCCATGATTCATTAAAAGATTTTGGTCTGTTTCTTCTCCTTTAGTCCCCTGCCTTTACTGCAAAGATTTCCCCACAAACAGACTTCAGGATTTTCCTAAATGGACAGGTTAATTCTCTGAGTTTATGTGTGTGTTTTTTCTGCATGGTCTTTTTTTTCCTAATTATGGTGATTTACTGTCACTGATGTTAGTCTTTTGAGTTCTTCTCCTGAGTGAGAGATCATTTTTGGCTTCAGATTGGAATGTCCCAGAATAATTGTTGTTTAGAAGATTATTTGCGTGTTGCAATTTTAAGGAACTCTCATTTAAGGCTGAAATCTATCTATAGGCATGAAATAGAGTGGGAATATTTAGATCCCTGATTTCTGATCAAGGACTCTCATTACTTCAAAGTACAGATTCTCCTAAACTTAGGCCTGCAAGAAGCATAGTAGCAGGTGGACCTCTTAGGATGTGCGTGTCCGCATTCATGTGTTGAAATCCAACCCCCAAAGCGGTGGTATTCGGGGGGGGGCGGGGGGGGGGCTTTGGGAAGTAATTAGGTCTTGAGGGTGGAACCCTCATGAATGGGATTAATGCCCTTACAAGACAGACCCCACAGAGTTCCTTGCTCGCTTTTGCCATGGAGAACACAGGGAGAAGATGGCTATCTGTGAACCAGGATGCGGTCTTTCACCAGACGTCAAATCTGCTGGCACCTTGATCTTGGATTTTCCAGCCCCTGAAGCACTTGCTATCCTGCTGATCTTGTCTTGATCATTCTGCCTTAAATTGTAGCTGTTTTGCTATAATAATAGCTGCGTTTTGTGAGCATGCACTATCAGTTTACATACATTATCTCAAATTATTCAACAACGCTGGCAGGCGATCTTATTATCTCCATATTAGAGATACAGAAATGAAGCTTGGAGAAGCTAAGTAACATGCCCAAAGTCATACAACAAACAAGCGACAGAGCTGAGAGGCAAACCACGCCCTCCGGGTTTTATCTCCCGTAGCAGATCTTAAGCACCGTGAGGGAAGTGACTATTTTATCTCTGTATCCTTAAAAGAAAAAAAATCAAGTTGTGTAAGAGCCCTAGCATTTGTGTAACCCCATGGAGGCAAAAAAAAGAAAAGAAAAGAGCACAGAATCCCCTCCCGTCTGGTATTAGTTTGCTGGCGAGCTGCAACAGAGCGCCGCAAACTTGAACAACAGAAAGTTACTGTCTCACAGTTCTGGAGACTAGAAGTCTGAGATCGAGGTGTCAGCAGGGCCACACCCCCTCTGAAGGTGCCAGGGACGTACTTGTTCTGGGTCCCCCTCCTGGCTTCCGGTAGTCCCTTGGCTTATGGCAGCATAGCTCCAACCTCCCCATGTGTGAATCTCTGAGCCCAAGTTTCCCCTTTTAAGAAGGACAGCAGTCAGACTGGTTAGGGGCCCATCCCACTGACCTCACCTTAACTAATTGCATGTGCAACAAGTCCATTTCCAAATAAGGTCCCATTCTGAGGACCTGGGGGTGAAGACATCAACACATCAATTTTGAGGGGACACAATTCAACTCATAACGCATTTCTACAACACTGCTTCTATCACAATGCTGATCCCTGAAACAGACACCTGATGTGGTTGTCCCATTCACTTTCCTAAAACCAACACTGCAGAGGGGTCAAATGAGCAGTTTAGACAAGTTTCATTGTGCCAAAATTGAACCTGGTTTTAGCTTCCATCTTCAGTGGATTCACTCAATATTAGCCTTTCATGTAAGCCAAAGAGGTCACCCACATAGCACGAAAAACTCAGCCTGCTCTAAGCTGCCATAACCTGTGGTTCCTTCTGACCCTCATGAAGGGTCAGTTGATTACTGTGTGTAACATTACAGTACCAAGAAGTTATGTTTGATGATGCTTAAAATGCTTAAACTTTATTTTAAAATGGTTTTAGCTTAGTAAGTTTCACTATGTTTCAGCAGTAAAAGGGAACGAAATATTAATATTAAGAAATATTGCTATTAAGAAAGAAATAAGGGGGGATGGTCTGGTGGTGCATGGTTAAGTTCACATGCTCCACTTTGTTGGCCCAGGGTTCGTCGGTTCGGATCACGAGTGTGGACCTAGAAGCCTTATCAAGCCATGCTGTGCATATAAAAGAAATGCATATAAAAGAAATAGAGAAGGATGGGCATGGATGTTAATTCAGGACCAATCTTCTTCACCAAAAAGAGGAAGATTGGTGGCAGATGTTAGCTCAGGGCTAATCTTCCTCAAAAAATAAAAACAAAAAGATAGAAATTGGGAGGCTGGCCCACTGGTGTAGTGATTAAGTTCGTGGGCTCAGCTTCGGCAGCCTGGGGTCCACAGGTTCGGATCCTGGGCATGGACCTACACACTGCTCATCAAGCCATACTGTGGTGGCATCCCAGATATAAAATAGAGGAAGATTGGCACAGATGTTAGCTCAGGGACAATCTTCCTCACCAAAAAAGAAAAAAAGAAAGAAGTAGGGCTGGTAATTTAGGAAGCCCTAAAGGGGAAAGGGCCTGCACACAGTATATCATAATGCAAAATAGGTTAGAATGTTGCAAAGTCAAATTTTTAAATATGAAATCCAACCAGCCACAAAGGACAGGGAATGTAAACCTTAAGAATATTGAATAGGCTGAGAATGGCTTTTGCTCAGTAGATTGCAGAATTCCCGAGAAGGATTCTCTCATTTGACACCACTTTGATCCACAACAATGCTAGCCTAGGGCATTGCACAGAACAGGTTTGAACACATTAAATTGAATGAAGTTTTTTTTTTTTTTTAAAAACTTAACAGAGACAGGAAGCATTCAAAGTTCAATTTAAGAAGTTAAATAAAGATGGGTAGTGTTTTACTGTATGCCAGGAACTGTTGTAAGTACAGTCAGGGAACGAGGTAGATTCTGTTATTTCCATCTTAAAGATAAAGGAACAGAGAGATTAAACAGCTCACAAGCTAGGGAATGGTACCCGTGGGAATTCACCCCTCGTCTGTTTGTATTTATAGTCCACATTCTCAACCCCTGTGCTATATGTCAGTTAACATCACTGCTGAACAGCCAGAGCTCCCCTTTTCTAAAGAATTCTTCAGTTGAGATGTTTACCATCAGCTCATCAGTGTATTGCTCCAGCTGAATTCAAGAAATACAGTGGAGTGTTCAGATTCCATTTTTGGCATCACTCTAGACCCACGTTCAAACTCCGGCTTTAGCATAGCTGGGCTGTGTAACTCACGTTACTCAACTTTTCCAAGACTCCTTTTCATCGTCTGTAAAATAAGGCTAATTATTCCTACCTCGCACAGTTACGATGACGTGTTTAAAGCATTAGGCACAGTGCTTGCTATGTAGCAAAAACTCAATAAATGACATCTAAAAAGTATATCTATTTGGTAAGTAATATTTCGTCATATGGATGTACACAATTTGTTTATTCACTGTGGAAGTACATTCGGGTTCTCACTAGCTTTTGCCTATTACGAATAAAGCAACTATGAACATTCTCATACGAGTCTTTGTATAGACTTGTGCTTTAATTTCTCTTGGTTAAATTCCCAGGTGAAATAGGAGATATATGTTTAGCTTTTAAGAAACTGCCAAAGTGTTTTCCAAAGTGGTTGTATCATTTGATATTCCCACTAGCAGTGTATGAGAGTTCCAATCCCTCCACATTCTTGTCAACTTTACTTATTAATTTACAGATTTTGTTTTTGATGGTAAAAAAAAAATTTTTAAGTGTATGGTTCAGCACTTTTAAGTCTGCTTACGTTGTTGTGAAATATCTTCAGAACCTTTTCATCTGGCAGAACCGAAACTCCACACCCCTTCAACAACTCCTCTCTGCCCCCTCCCCCCGGCCCCTAGTAACCACCGTTCTACTTTCTGTCTCTATGAACTTGACTATTTTAGATACCTCACACAAGTGAAGTCATACAGTATTTGTTCTTTTGCGACTGGATA